CAATATTAACTTAGTCACTCTTCTTGTGTGAGAGTCTCACCCGAGCTTAAGCATTGAGAAGGAGCCTACTACAGAACTAACTCCTGAAAAGAAACATAAAAACTTAAGTGAAAAAGATAATCATAAAGGAGTTGAGTGATCACTCACCCCTTGCAAAAAACCAAATGAGGAATTCACGCCTCAATGATAATGATAATCCAATAGAATGTATAAATGATGGCTCAATTAGAACACTAAAGAAGACATCAAGAATTGGGGGACCATGAACCTATATAAAAAAATTCAATGAAAAGTTCTCTAACTTTATTAAAAACTACTCAAAAAACTACTCAAAGGAGATTATATCATTAAAGACAACAGTCTCAGACAACAAAGCACCCTTTTTATCAAGCGAACTAATCATCCTTTTGTTCTCCTTTACACCACCTTATAATATTCAAGGAATCGCCTTCTACCACACATGAGGATCCCATGTTTCTTGCAATGAATAATTTCAGCTCATAAATCAGTGCATAGAACTCTGCATTGTTGGCTGTAGTCTCACCGAGAGGACCCGTATATGTAAACAAAATAGTTCCTTCATAATTTCTCACTACTCCTCCGTAGCCCACTAAACTCGGATTTCCCAATGAGCAACTATCAAAGTTTAGTTTGAAAATACCTTCCAATGGCGAAACCCAACTGACTTTCGGCCTTCTTCTGATAAATCCCATCTGAAACAGATTTGTTAGATTTCTCCTAATATCCACCTCCACCATATCCTCCCCTCCTTTAGCAGCAGATAGCCACAACCACACAATGTGCACAATCTTTTCAATGACCCTTTCCATGGATAAACCAATCTCGTCAAATGTCTTTCTATTTCTTTCTTTCCTCACTTCCTACATGACAACTACTCTAACTATTTGCCAGATCAACTTTCCTAACTGCGGCAGCCACGGTAGAGAGAGATTAGAAATAATTCCTATCATTTGTTTGGGGAATACTGTCGAACACCCCACTTGTAAAACAAACCAAGACCAAATTCTAGAAATGAAAGGGCAATGTAGAAACAGATGATCACCTGTTTCATAATTCCCCTTGCACATTAAACATACATTAGAGAGGATCTTCCCCCTTTTAATAAAATTATCTACAGTGAATATCTTATCTTGAATAGCCAAGCACAAAAATGCTTGAACTTTATGAGGTATCTTCCACTTCCAAATTTGAGCAACTTCCGGTTTCGACCATCTCCAATGATTATGGAATACAAGGCAATACATTGACTTCACTGCCATCAGACTCAATCTCCTAAACTACCTCGTCTTTTGCCATTTGAAGAACATTAACTTGGTTCAGGACCTCCAAGAGAAAATTTATCTGGGCAAATAACTCATCTGAAATCCTGTTATAAGGAAGGTGCATATCTCATGTGATCTGGCCCCCCCATAATTCAAACATATCTGACACCACATCGTTAAGATTATCTGTTCCAGCAAATACCCTAGGAAACACATATTTTAGGGGATAATCACCAATCTACTTATGGTGCCAAAATGAGATCACATTTCCACTCCCCAATTCCATCACACATTCGGATGGATCAACGGCTTACAAAACTTAATAGATCTCTGGAAGAACGAGATATCCCTATTACCATTCCTTAACCGAATCCACATACTGAAGTTATCTAAACCATACTTAGCTACCACCACTTTGAATCATAACTAATCCTTAAATAGAAGACTTTGCCACCACCATTTATAAAGTAATGCTTGATTAACCAACTTTATTTTCCTAAGACCCAGTCCCCCTAACTTTTAAGTGTGCAAACCTATCCACCTCAAAAGATGATATCTCCTACAAACATCAGTTGATCCCCACAAAAAAAGTTTCATCACACTTTCAATTTTCCTAGCCATTGAAGAAGGAATCTGAATGAGGGACATCTGGTACATAGGTAAATTCGTCAAGCAAGCTTGTAACAAAGTTATCCTACCTCCTAAGGATAAATACTTATACTTCGAAAGAACCAGCTTAAAATGAATTCTGTGGATAACTTTATCCCAAACAACCACCAGTAATCTTCCATTAGAAATAGGAATACCTAGATACGTGATTGGCAAGTGATCCGACTTGCAACCCATAGTCTTTGCTAATTCCCTAACCATTGAATCATCACAATTAACTCCAATCCCGTAGGTTTTTTCGAAATTCACTTTAAGACCTAAAGATACCTTACATCATCTCAAAAACATTGCAATATTATTTACGTGTTGAGCCTCAGCCCCGAAGAAGATAAGAGTATCATCTGCATACTGTAAATGTGATATAGAAGGCCCCTCGTTTTCCACCTTAAAACCAAAAAAGTTAACCCTGCTCCCAACATTCAACACCAGAAGGCTAAATCACTATGCATAGATTATAAAGAAGAAGGGAGATAAGGGATCACCTTTACGTAACCCTCTGGAAGCAGTAGAAAAGCCAGAATGGCTCCCATTTAAAAGAATGGTGAAGTGCGTAGAGGATAAACATCCAAACGTCAAACTTCTCCATTTCTCACAAAAGTCCATACCATATTCATCATAATTTCTAACAGAATGCCCTACTCTACTATGTCATATGCTTTTTTTATTGTCTAGTTTGATCACAACCCTTGGAATTCCATCCAACACTCTCGAAGGGATATACTCATGAGCCACCAAAACACTGACTATGAACATTCTTTCTTTGATGAAGGCAGATTGAGATCCTAAGAAAATTAAGGGAAACACCACTTTCAATGTATCTGCTATAACCTTTGCAACTATTTTATAGAGACATGTAAAAAGGATAATGCGTCTGATGTCCCCTAGACTTTCAATTACTGACTTTTTAGGAATCAGAGCAATGAAAATAGAAATAACCCATTTAAAAATCCCACCTCTTCTAAAAAAAATGCTAACCACCTCAAACTCCATAATCTTTGGATAAAAATAATGGGAAAGTCATCAGGGGTAGGGGACTTATCTCTAGGCAGCAAAAAGACATCAGGGTACTCTTAGGCTCTTCCATAGTAAGATCAACTTCCAAATTGTTTTGAGACTTACAATCTCCTTATCATGCAATCACCCAATTTCAAATCTAAACGGTTTTGGCCCCTTCAAGGAGGTAATGGAACTTAGTAAAATTTGGGTGTGATCAGAAGATAACCGAGGTAAAGCTTTGACAAACGCAAGAAGAAAGGTATCAGACCAAGTTCAAGAAACCAAAAACATGTCTAACTTTGACATAGATAGATTAGACAAACTTCCATTGGACCAAATATAGACAGTCCCCGAGATTGGAAGATCAATTAAAGAATGGGTCTCTATAAACCTATTAAAAACCCTCATGGCCGAATTAATCGCCCCCCCCAAAACAAGTCTCTTCAAGCCAACAAATGAAATTAAAATTCCCCCCAATACAAATAGGATTACTAAAACTATACAATACATCTGACATATCAGAAATAAAGCTTTCTTTAAAAGCATAAGATTGAGGCCCATAAACCTTCATCATACCTCAGTAAAAACTTGGTGTAGGCTCTAATGTGAAAATATTTACATATGCAAACAACTACATGAAAAAATTACGCATGTATACTTTTTCCTTTTTTTATAAAAACTGTTGGAAATAGGTGGAGAGAACAATAGGAATAGAACAAGCATTGCAAATGTCAATTGCTAACCAGTTACACCCAAGCCTTATTCCTTACCCACTGCATTGGTTAAGATTTCCATTAGATACCTCCTCAAATTTAATTCACTCAAACCCCAAGGCACTTCCAATTTTCGTTCTATTGACTTGTGTGGCCAACCCCAAATAGTTTGGATAAGGCTCTAGTGATGATAATGATGGTGTGAAGTAATATCTGGGCAACAATATTGACCAAAGTCACGAAGAAATCCACCAAAAATAAGACTAGAACTAACACTAATGCTTACAAAGGTGCTAAATTTCTTACTTTTCAAAATTTTTCAAACCAAACCATGCAAAATGAATGGGAAAATATCATTAAAGGGGATGAAACTGCTAATAAAATCATTGAAAGGGGTCAAATAATTTATATTAACATTTGAGGGCATATTTTTTTTATCATTTCACTTAGATACATCCTATGAATTTTAAAGAAAAATACCCATATTGTGGTTGTCAAATATTTAGAATGACGAATATGATGGGTATTTTAGTAATTTGACCCTCAAGAGACCCATCAGAATGATGAAAATATCCCAAGTTATTTTGTATTTACATTCTTCAGTTTTAGTAATGCGGAACAACTAGTGTGGAACAAACTACATGTATTTTCGTAATTCAGGTGAGGTCTCTTAGAGGTCAATTACAAAAATACCCCTAATTTATTTCACATTCCAGATGCCATACAAGAGCAATTTGAGAATATTTTTAAAGAGATATCTAATTGACATAATAAAAGAGTGATTTACGAACAAAACTTAAAAGTTTAGGTAAAATACGAAATGCTCCATTTACATGTGAAAATTACAAAAAAGGTTGGTTGACCAACTTTTTTTTATTTTTTTAATCAAACTTGCCCCTTAGTCAACCTGATTTTTTATTTTATTTTTGTTTAGTTTTTTCATTCAGAGGGCCGTGCCTTAAAGTTTGGGGAACTACCCTACTAACGGAAAAACTAAAAACACTAAAAAAAAATATTTTAAATTTGAGTTGACAGAGGAGCAATTTTTTTTTTTTTTTAAAAAAAGGTTTGAACGACTTTCTTTGTAATTTTCGTATATAAGTAGAGAATTTAGTATTTTACCTAAAATTTTAAGGTCTATGTAAATAACTTAAAAAAAAACCCTTAAATATTTATAGAGATAATTTGTTTTTATAAGGGGTTTCAACTCCATTAATGATATGCAATTAACTAGAGACCTAATAACTTATTGTCACCTAATAACCTGAGATGCAATTAACTAGAGACCCTCTCTCTCTCTCTCGCGCTCGCTCTCGTGTATTGATCCTCACTCTCACAGATCTTTGGGCGTGAGAGGCTAAATGGGCACTACGACGTGGGTACCTACGTCATCGGGAACACCCTCTTTTCCATCCCCTACCTCCTCCTCACCACTCTATTCCCAGGAGCCATCGCCTACTACCTGGCGCACCTTCAAGATGGAGCTAAACACTTCCTCTACTTTGCTCTAGTCCTCTTTGTGTGCATGATGCTCGTAGAAAGCCTTATGATCCTCGTTGCGAGTCTTGTCCCCAACTTCTTCATGGGCATCATCACCGGTGCCGGTGTCCAAGCCATCATGATACTGAACGGTGGCTTTTTCCGACTACCTAACGACTTGCCTAAGCCCGTTTGGAAGTACCCAATGTTTTACATCTCATTCCATAAGTATGCTAACCAAGGTTTATACAAGAACGAGTTTGAGGTTCTTGCTTTCCCTAATGGCTTAGTCGAAGGGCCAGCCACCATAACAGGCGAGAGCAATTTGAGAGAGACATGGCAAATGGAGATGGGGTACTCCAAGTGGGTGGACTTGGGCATATTGATGGGCATGGTGGTTTTCTATAGGCTTATGTTCTTGGGAATCCTCAAACTTAGCGAGAAGGCAAGGCCGGTGGTGAGGGGCTTTCTGGTTCGGCATCGCAAGCAAGTGACAAAGGTGTTGGATCCGATGCCTTAGTCTCCTTTGTGTACAACTCATAACGATTCTATGTCCGCTACATTATTGCTCAAAAATAAAAAGAAGAAAAGATAAAATGAATCTGTGCCGGTTGGATGTTAAGATGACGTCTGGTTTCATTGATCCTCGTTGACAGCGAAGTTATCAGTCGATGTTCTTGCTTTCATCTTTCTCTTCTTCTTTTGGGCAATGACGAAAGAAGCTGGTTTTGTAGAAACATGGAAGTTGGATCTCCCGGGTAAATATAAAGTATGAGGTTGGATAGCCCTAGCAAGTAGTTAATATGACGCAGACCCTTCATGGTCAGGAGAGATTATCTGTTAACTATTTTGAGATCATATTATTGTGCATGTTAGGAAAGGGATATGTTTTATATCGTTGGATTCATAATTTTTTTTTCCATTTAATCTCCATATAAGTTTATAAGAAAAACAAAAAATTTGAAGAGATTTCGATGAGTAGATGGAGACCATTGAGAAGATGATAAACCAGTTTGAGAGAGATAAGAAAGGGAAATTTCTTCTGGTGTCCTATTTTCCTTGGTTTACCCTGCAAGTTTGAAGTAACATGAGATGCTAGCACTGAATCATACACTTGATCATCGAGTGCGCATGGTTTTAATAGAGAGCTATCTTGAATTAGGTTTTTTTTCCCCAAATCAAGGTTCTTAATTTGACATGAAAGAACAATTTAGTAAAGTGAAATTGGCATAATCAAAGGACCTCTATGATTTTTAATTTCATATTTTGTATTTGCAAAAAGAAACATAGACGCTCTATCACTCTGTGTTGTATATGCGTTTTTCTTATGGATATGACAAATGAGGCTTTAGACAATGGAAACCTTAGCCAATCTTCACCCCTCAAAATGCTTCCAAAGAACTCAAAAGGAGACTTCAATTCAATAACTATGGAATCTCAAACCAAGCAACTAAAGGCTCTTTTCTCTCCTTTTTCTCTATCATGTCTACTTTCTCTCTCATCTGGGTGGTGCATGGATTCTTCAGAGTAGGTTATAATGAAAGAAGGTAGAGAGACCTACATTCCATGGAGAGAAATCGCGCACGAAGGAAAACTATTGAGAGGGTGTTCTATTTATCAGCTTCCATTCACTCTCCTAGTGAGGGAAACCACCCAAAAGTAGGTAGCAAGATGGTAAGATAAAATAATTATAAAAAAAAGAGTAAACTCGAGAATGGGAAGCCCCAGTTTCCTTCATTCGCTACTGTGTAAAATATGTACCGTCCAAATATATGGACCGTGTTGATGGCTGCATATGGACCGTGCTGATGGCCGCAGCCAAACTTCAACAAATAGAGCAGCAGCCCTATAGAAACTTCATCCTTTATGAAATGCAGCCAAACAACTCATAAGCGGTCAATACTAGGTTATTAATGAGGGGTCAATACTAGGCTATTCATATTTATATAACATTGTGGTTTCTATAAGGTTGCAACCTTAAACAATCCAACACACCACCAAAATTTATCATAACATATAATTTGGATGTAAAAACTTATTGAAGCAGGTGGTAGATCGTGATGTTATGTACTTGGCTGGTTCGAGAGTTTCGGTATCTTTCTGACATCACAAGTGGTTGGGAAATCTACCCTTAAAATATGCTTTTCCTCTTTTATTTGAAAAGGTCAGGTACCCCCAAGCTACATTTTAGTAGAAGTTAGAGGTGATAAGATTAGTTGGAACATCACCTTCCCTTATGATAGAATTCAAAGTTATCTTTATCTGCCGCTCATCAACATTTTGCAGAACCTTGAGCATATGGTTATCATGCAACATAATGAGGACGAATTGGTGTAGGAAATAGAAAATAATGTGCAGTTTTCTGTCAAATCTGTTTACAAACTTCTCTTCTTTGATAGAGTGTGATGGAATCTTCCTAAGATTTCGTAAATTTGGAGATGACGTCTTCCTCATATAGTGCAAGTGTTCCTTTGGTTAGCGGCTCAAGATAAAGTTCTTAGTGTTGATAATCTGATTAAGAGAGGGAAGATAATCACGAAGGTGTACTTAATGTATAAGGAAGATGACGAGTCTGAGGCACACTTGTTTATTTATTGCTTATTCATATCCAAAATTTGGTGGTGGTGTTTTCAAATGATGGGGATAAATCTAATCTTACCACAATAGGCTTTGGATTTGATAACTCAAATGAAAGTGCTTTTATCGAAAATTGGAGGATCTATTTGAAAGATTCTACGGGGGGTTATCTTGTGGGAAGTATAGTTGTAGAGGAACCAGAAAACATTTAAAGGGGTGGTTTGTAGCTTTGAAAGGGTGTTAAACAACATCAAACTATCTCTATGGTCTTGGTTGTTAGTTACTAAGGAAGGAAGGGGAATATCTAAGACCGATGTTATGATTAATCTTTCTAATCTATTTCAACTGGATGTGCCTAGAAATAGACCAAGCGTTAGATGGAAGCCACCAGACCAAGGTATTTTAAAATTAAATTTTGATGGTAGCTCTTTGGACAACCCACGCCCAACTGGATTTGGTGGAGTGGTCCATGATTAGCAAAGAAATGTAATAGTTGCATATGCCGACCCGTGTGGAGTTACTACGACAAACCATGATGAATTACTTGTTATCTTCCATGGTTTGAAATTATTAGTGACCAAAAATTGTGGAGGTAGATTTATTATTGAAGGGGATTCACTGAATGTTATTAAATGTTGTAAGGAAGAACAACATTTCCCTTGGAAACTTAAATTGAAGGGCTTGCAAATCTTTGATTTGATGTCATCTTTGACTCTTTCCTTAGCACGTGTGTACATGGAGGCAAATGAAATGGTTGATTTATTGGCTTAGAGGGAAGTGGATTTGGATACTATTCTGATCGCTTATAATGTAGTTTCCCTGATGTAAGTTTTGATAAATTTTAAATTTTGAATATTTTTTTAAAAAAAAAGATATAAAATTCTAAGGATTATCCAAAAATCCATTTTATATCTAATTATAAAATTTTAAACTCCAAAAATCGTTAAAATCAAGTAGATCTATAAACATATGAAAATCTTAAAAATAGATGGTCAAGATAATATGTTGCAAGGTACACTATTTTTGGGACTCAATTTTTTTTTTTTCATATTCATGCATCTCAATATCGAGATGATCAATTAAAAGTTTTTTCAATGTTAAAACAACCTTCTATGATGGTTTTTGAGGTTCATCTATAATTCTACCTTTTATGATTACAACATGATATAAACTTTTTCCTTTATATAATAGGTTGCAAACGACCCATAAAGATGGATAGGTAGTCTACCTAAAAACAAATGTAATTAATTGTCCAAATATTTTCTTAATTCATGTTCTTCAGGTTAAAGATTATATATTAAACTAAAAATTAAGATCAAATTATATTTAAAAAATATAATTATTGCCAAACCCGCATTTCTACCATTTGCCTGCTGGCAGCATAGAAACCGTGTCCTTCATTTGGGGACCATGAAAAGATGAGTGATGCAAATGGAGACGGTATGACGTAGTAACGGTGATGCATACCATATGATCGATCAAATAGAGTTTGGACAAAATTGTACACGGACAGAGCTTCTACTCATTTATAACGAAATGAATACATTTTCTATGTAAATCACCATGACCACCCCTATTGAAGGGCCCTTTTGTTTTCACAGTAACAGCTCGCCTGTCCGCAATTACAACCCGGGAAGGAGAAGTACACGTCTTAAAAGTTTCGATCTGAAATCTTGGGGATATAAACTCTACCACGGATACGGTTTCTATGCAGCGAGTTATGTAACGTAGAAATGTTGGCTGGACAATAAATATATTTTTAAATATAGTTTGATCTTAATTTTTAGAGAATATATAACATTTAACATGAATTTTATGGATATAAAAAAAAAATTGAAAATTAAAAATAATAATTATATTAAAAAAACATTTGCACAATTAGGTACACTTGTTTTTAAATGGCCCATCTATTTGCATCAATCTTTAAAAAGGATGTTTTATACTACTAGATTGAATATTGTAAAAATGCCTTCCAACCCGCATAAAATAATTTCCCCTACAGAATAATTTCAGCAAACAACATTTTGTCCAGTGCTATAATCGTTCGACAAGCGGGCAGTTGTGGAAAAAAAGGGGAGCCGCCAAACTGGTCATACCTTTCGGGGGCCCCATTTCATACAGAAAATGTACTGATTTGAGATTAAATAGGTGGGACCAGCGGCCATATCTAATTTTCTTAGAGTATAAAGCGATTAGACCAGTCTTCCCAACCCGATTCCCCTTACTCCCCCTCTCAATCTCTATTCTAGTTCCTCCTTCAATCTTTTTCAAGAGTTATGATTCATGTTTGAGTTGTTTCCCAATCTGTTCTAGAGAGCAGCCTATCTGTCTCGGCCTCTTCTAAAGTTGGGTTGATCTCGCTCTCTCTCTCATTCTCGATGGCCTCACTCCGTTCTGTCCCACAATGGATGCGGAGCTCGAGCCCAACACAATCCCCAAACCCTCTCCTCAGCCACCCTCCCTTCCAACATGAATCCGTAGACCACACCTCCCTTGATGAAATTACTCCGAAACCATTTCAAAGAAACCCGAGCCTAAGAGTCTCTGATATTGAGGAAGCTGCATTGGGCACCAGCAAGCGCTTCTTCCACCTCCATGCACCAACTCCCCAACCAAGCAATATTCGCTCCAAGCCCACTTCTGGGAGCAGTGTCGAAATGGGCAGGACCAAGCACCAGTCGGTTCAAGTGGATATGGATCGACTAGGCTCGTCTAGTTCCGGTGTGTCACTAGCGTGGACCAACCTATGTGTCGTAGCTCATGGGAAAGAGGGTGCACGCACAATTTTAAGGGGGCTCAATGGGTGCGCCCAACCAAGCGAGTTTTTGGCTATCATGGGTCCATTTGGTTGCGGAAAGTCAACCCTTCTCGATGCACTTGCTGGTTCGAGGCTTTTCTTTAGACTTCGTTTTGTTTATTCATTTGCTTAATATAGTTTTTGGC